CTATAAAAAGAAAACAAGTAAATAAGAAAAGTAATCAAACAAAAAATCAAATGAACGAGATACAAAGGATATAAAAAGGAGGGAAGTAAATAATTTAAAACAGGATGAACGGTATATGATGAGGCGGGGGGACCGAAAGAAACAACGAAAGAAATCAGAAAGGAGGAAAAGAAAAGGAAAATGAAATAAAGAAGAAAAAAAGAAAGATATATATAACAAAACATTAGAAAGAAAAATGAAATTAAAAATGTAAGAGGAAAAACAGCGAAAATGAATAGAGAAATTGCCACTAAAGGGGAAGAATGGAGAAAGATAATGTAACGTGAAAACGAACATGAAAATAAAATAAAGAAAAGACAAAGAAAAAAAAAGAAAGAAAAAAAAGAAAGGAGTAGAAGAAAAATGAAAAACAAAACAAAAAAAAACAATGGAATCAAAAATAAAAAAAGGAAAAGCTACGAAAATTAAATAAAGAGAAATCGGCACTAAGGAGGAAGAATGAAGAAAAAATCACAAAGAAATATGAATGAATCATGAAAAAGGAAAGAAAACAGACAGATAATAACACAAATAAATGAAGTAAGAAAGAATAAAATGAGGAGGAAGGAATAAAATTAACGAAAATTAAATAAAGTAAAAACAAAATAAATATATAACGAGAAAATCAATAAAAAATAAAAGAAATCGAAAAATCAAAAAACAGGAATAATAAAAATCAGGTAATGAAATAAATAAGAAAAGAAAGACAACGAAAAGAATGGAGAGAAACAAAAGGAAGAATGGACAGCAATAAAAAAAGAAAGAAAAAAAATGAAAGAAAGAAAGAAAGAAAGAAAGAAAGAAAGAAAAAAATGAAAGAAAGAAAGAGTGAGAATAAAGGGCGAAAAAAAAACTTATTAATACTAAAAACAAAGAAGAAACTAAAATCTAGAATGATAATAAACGAAAGCAAAAAATAGATAAAAGAAAAAAAGGGCCGAAAATTTTGAGTGAGGAAAAAGAATGAAAAAAAAAAGCAAAAAAGAGAAAAAAGAAAAGAAAGTGAAAGAAATAAACGATTGTTTCGGAAGGGAAGAAAAAAAAGGATTGGCTGGTTATTTTGTTTTTACCACGAAATTTGAGCGTGACGATTTACGAGAGTTCTTCGGAGACGCCGATCTTCTGTGAAGGTCATGCTACACAAGACCTTCTCAAGGCATGGATTTGTTTTATTATATAAATTATTTTCCTTGTATTGCTTTCTATGTTGTTATGCTGTTTTAAAGGTTTATATATTTTCTTGATGTCACGAGCAAATGTTTTATCTGTTTGGCGAACTCTATTCTCCCCCTTCTGCATTCTCACTCTCAGTCTTTCGTTTTAGTGCCTCTCAAAAGTGATCGTGCCAACCAAAATTGATTCAAAGCAAATCATTTTGGACATTTATATTCGAGAAAGACACAGTATGTGTGAAAGTTAGATAGCGGGACAGACAGGCATAACTGGAGAGTGGATATAGCAAATTCTAAAATGTCATCTAATAGATTGCTAGGGGAAGAAAAGAGTACTTAGCGCCAATCTTCCAAATGCCTATCTTGAAATTACCATAACAAGCGATGTGTAATGCGGTTCGGCAGTGGAGATAAGCCAAGTTGGCGCCGATCGAATATATATATATATATATATATATATATATATATATATATATATATATATATATATATATATATATATTCAGGACATCGGTGTTGAACTCAGTGTCCGCTTATAAATTTATATTTATATACGCACTTTTCCTGATATTAAACACGCTTATCCTTAAATATATCATACATTAAACTACATTTTATCACATACACATACGCATATATATATATATATATATATATATATATATATATATATATATATATATATATGCAGTATCGTAATCTCTTTTAGACATGTCTGATTGAATAAATTACAGACATTATATCTGCTAATTTTTAATAAAATCCATTCATAATCACGAATACACTTCCGCGTATTGATGCTAAAGGTTGAGAAAAATGAGCTATACTTGTTTATTTTTTTATTTATTTTCATTTCCCAGGTACTTTCGATCTTTATCCAAGATCATCTTCAGGAATGCAAGTGGTATAAAACTATATGTTGTTCATTAGTATAAGTATTTATATAAAAAGATGTGTGTTATCCATTAACGTAATTTTTTCATTATGCTTTTAAATGCAAAACGGTTGACAATGGGCTGATCAATCATTAGAACGTGAAAGATTATCTATTATGGATTTTTTTTCTTCTATGTTATAATGTCATGGTCACGCGCGCATTAAAGCATGTAAAAAGGGTTCCTTTACAGGCATTTCAGAACATTACTGTAGTATTCATAGTTGATTCTGTTCAGTACCGGCTTTATTTTTTAATATAAATCCTTCTAGTTTTTGTAATCTGGATTTGTTGTTTTGAAGGTAAGTATTTTGTAAATGAAAACAAAAGAAATTTAAACAGGTATAGCACATTTCTCTCATCCTTTAGCATCAATATACGGAAGGTTATTCATAACTATGAACGGATTTTATTAACAATTAGCAGAAGTAATGTCTGTAATTTATATAATCAGGCATATATATATATATATATATATATATATATATATATTATATATATATATATATATATATATATATATATATATATATATATATATAAACAGGTCCTGTTAAATAATGTAGAGGTATTGTCTATTTATTTTAGCTTTAATAATTTCGAGTCCACTAATTATATTCTTGGTGGCCGTAGAAAATTGATTAAGAAAAATACCAAAATTTTCTTTCAAATAATTTTTATTTTCTCAAGTAGTTTCAATGTCATCTGAAACTATTTTCAGGAGGTTAAATTGTCTGCGGATGTGTATGCGTAGTTCCGTAAATTTAAAATACTTATTCACTGTTCATTTTACTGTGATTTGCAGCACTCCAGGATTAAATTAAAATTCAAGAGGTTTTTTCTACGTAAGGGAGGTAACTTTTGTATTTATTTATATATTAATTATTATTATTTTATATAAGAAACTTAGTTGCGACTCTCAATTAAGTACTTTATTGCTATGCTCATAGTTGTATTTAATTTTTGCTTTAATTCTCTCATTCACACACACACACACACACACACACACACACACACACACACACACACACACATATATATATATATATATATATATATATATATATATATAGGTAACTATACTCGTTTCGAAAAACCTTCGAATTTTTAATTTGCCAATAATCAAATCAATCTCGAAGGAAAAAAAAGCTTTTAAAAAAAGAAAGAGCCAGGAACATGAAAGTCTGTCGAAAAAAATCGCACAGATACAGGTTTAAAGCCCAAAGAAAAAAAACCCCGACACGAGTAAACAACTAACAAAAGAGCCCAATACAACCGTAGAGCAGACCTAGATAAACCTAGTGAGCCAGACAAACCTACCCAGGTTTTACCTAAGTGGATCGTCAGGGAACTTTTGTCTGGCCCCCTAGGTTTATATATATATATATATATATATATATATATATATATATATTGATGTGTTTTTTACTGCTTATCAACCGTTTTGCAGGATCTTTTTAACCCATAATTTGGAGGAGTTAGAGTTGAATTCATACTTTTTCCATGTTTATTTTTCGCGTAAATGAATATAACCAATTTGGCTGCAAGTGAAAGTAAGATTTACGATTTCAAATTTCGAGTTTTATCTATGACACCGGTGCAAGCATACAGTACCTTTCATTCCCAATCGTCCACCCATCTAGATACTAAGCATCTCTCTACGTTGCGTAACGTCGGTGATACTACGAGAACCGGTATTACAACATGATATTAGTGCAAGCTAACGAATTGGAAAGATTAGATTGAATCAATTGCTAGGCCACCTTCTAGGATAGTGGATTCACTGTGTCGGTCGAAAAACATTTTCTCGATAGAATCAATCTGACATATTTATTCGTCCATGCATTGAATATTGCTGGCACAGCTGGTCTGGATCTTCTGCTATGGATTTAGAGATTCTTTATAAAATACAAAGAAGAATCTGCAACATTATCCGTCTTAACCTGACATCTTGGCTTCAGTTATTTTCTTGCCGTAACGGAGTTTCCCTTTGTTCTCTAATATTTTTATGGTAATTTTTCTGATTAACTTTCATCTACAGTACTTAGACTTTATGGTTAGACGCAAAATGGTTTGGTGGTAATATGGTAATTTTTCTGATTAACTTTCATCTACAGTACTTAGACTTTATGGTTAGACGCAAAATGGTTTGGTGGCAAGGTCTCATCATTTTACAGTTGAAATGGATAAGTGTAACCGTATGTTGTAGGCTAAGAGGTTATTTGTCTTACACTTATCACTTTTGGTATTCTCTTCCGGATTTTTGCTTCCCAGTCAACGTTGATCTTCAAAAATATAGATGCAATATCAATCGTTATCATCCGTCTTCTTGCTTCCTGTTCTTTTATTGTTCTGTGACCTTAATGATTTCTTCTGAAACACTGCAACTCGGTAACCCCTTGCGTCTTAGTGGATTCATGGACTAGATGGAGAATCTTTTCTTTCTATGAGGTGTGTCCTTTCATGACATAGGCTATCATGGCTGTCCACCTCCCTCTATCCCTTGCAGCTCTCAACAATCTTCCATCTGCTTCCCACCAGACCACGTTCTGTCATCCATTTGATCAGGTATGTTACGCGTTGTTTTTCCTTGGCTCTCTTTCCCTCTATTCGACCCGTGTGTATCAGATTCTCCAGGCTTACCTTCTTCATCATGTGTCCCCGGAACTTCAGCTGCCTGTTCTATGTGTTAAGTAGAAGTCTCCTCCTTGTTTGTATCCTCTCTAAGACCTCGTCGTTGCTCACACACCCGGTCTATATCCTTAGCATCTTTCTGTAGAACCACATCTCTGTCGGCACGAGTCACTTCTTCATCTTTGAGGAAATCGTCCAAGATGGAGATTAAGAAATTATTAAAAAAAATAAATAAAATAAAATAAACGAGGTGCAATCTTTTAAATCGAATTTCTAAAAAAAATATTTCTAAAGGGGAAAAAGTCATTCCTCCGCTGTTTGTGGAAATCAAAATTTTTCTGGTAATTCAAGTTCATCGGCGAAATATATGACTTTTCCAAATTGCATGTATGCGTGTGTTTGTGCGTGTGTGTGAGTATGTGTGTGTGTATAAGAGAAAGAGAAAGAGAGAGAGAGAGGAGAGGAAAGAGAGAATAGAAATTTGTAACCTTATATAAATTCGGTTAAAATAACTTCAACTAGGTTTATAATTGTATCTGTTTAAGTTTTATGAATGTTGCTAATAATATATAAAAGCTAAAAACTGCATCCTCTAGAAAGTAAAAAGGTTAACTTATTTTAATAAATCATTGCAGGTTCCATAATTTTTCTCTGGGTAAATTGTTTACTTTCTTTTATTAAAATGGACTTTTCCAGGTCAAAATTGTCACAAAGCATCTGGTAGCAGACAATTTCAGTTTTTATTTAAACCTCCTTGAAAAGGGTAATTCTGCTTAAATATGTCTCCTTTGGGACCATAGTGAACAACATGCCTAGCTTAAATGTAGATCCTTTAGGGTAAAGGGGAGACAAAATAATATCCGTTTCGACAGGGCCATTTTTTTTAATAAGCCTTTAGATTGCTCAGGTCGGTAAATGTTAATTGAATTATTTAGAAAAAATAATGACTTGGATATTCTATTCAAAAAACGTGTATCAATAACTATAAACTATATATATATATATATATATATATATATATATATATATATATATATATATATATATATATATATATATTTTCTTCTGTGGGAAAAAAGCAGGATACATTATTTTCATTACGCTCTTTACACACACACACACGCATATATTTCTGTTTATACGTTATTTTTATAGTTAAAATTTTATCTATAAAAATAGCGTATAAAAAAAAATATATTAAATAAATGTGGATCACAATCCATTTCATTACACACACACACAAACACACATATATATATACATACAAATCTATTTATCATATGTATATATATATATATATATATATATATATATATATTAGTAATAACAATAATGTTAGATAAATAATCCTTTCACACACACGGACACACACGCGCACATGCACACACACACACA